TAATGTTCAAATTCAGTGCTCCAAACTCTGTTCTGATACTGCTATGGTTTTCCTAAGAGGACTTCCATGCAGTTTCTACATTCCCCTGCTACTGGACTGGCAAAGGGTATAGCAAGTGCAAGGCACTGCCCTAAATGGAAAAGCAGATCTTTATTTCTGGCAATGCTGCCTTTCCACATCTTCTCAAAACATTTGTTCTTTTTCTTGCAGTCTTAGACTAATTTTTTTCATTCCTTTTTTAAACACGATTGTTGTGTTTTTATCACATGCACTGTTATCTTTCTCACTCACTTTTACATGTTCTTGCTTCATACCAAGCCTGAACCAGTCTGCCTTGTGCATCTATAACGTTAGTAATACTCTTGCCTCTATTCCTTCATCCCATTTGCTCTTTGGAAAGGAAATACTGTAATGGGTACAGCTTTCAATTAGCGAACCAGATGCAATGATATTTTTCTTCTTATATGGATGGCAGGTGGTATCCAGGGTGGTGTGTTGGACAAGAGTGATGGACTAGGATTAAGGAGACCTGGACTGAAATCTCCATTCGGCCATGGAAACTCATTATCGAGGTGGCACTGTTAAAATGAAATATCTCACTTACCTTGAAAACCCTATTTAAATCTCCATTTGGCCATGGAAACTCATTAGCGAGGTGGCACTGGTAAAATCTCATCTTGAAAACCCTACTAGGGTTGTTACAATGTGGATGTGACTTGATGGCACAGGAAAAAAGGTGGTAGACTCCATTTTGGTGCTTAAAAACATGTGAATTTACCTGCACAGAGTTCTCTCGACGGTTACTAGAAACGTCCCCTGGATTGTCTCTGGCTACAGCAGTCAATGTATAATGATCTTTCTTTTCCCGATCCAGAGCTGAAAGAATATAGATATCCCCCTAGAAAACAAAAAATATCTTCGAAAAGTTATTGGATTTATTCATGGGCATTTGTTTCATTGTGAAAACAGTTAAAGCAAAGGAACTTGGAGTCAGAAACATTATTTCTGTTTCCAACAATGCCAAAGCATTGCTTTTCCTGCTTGGACATCTGAACTGGTGCAGCCAAACAATCGGCTGTCCTCCAGCGTGCAAGGACTTCTGATGTCAGTGAAAGCATATCTGTACTAATTCCCTTATGCTGCACGTCTGGCGCTGGTGTTTCAGGGCCTTTGTCCAACATGCCAATAGGATATCTACAAAGTGATTTGAACGTAATAGTGTTTCTTAGCAAAGCAATATTAACTCTTGACATTTTCATGAGTCCATGTGGAAAAAACCCTAATGGTCAGGACACCAGATGCCTGCTCAGAAAAATCTGATTTTTATATAATATTTTCAAATGTACTTCTGTACAAAAAATAATCCTATGGAGTAGTAACATTAAAATAGGTTAAAATAGGTACAAAGCATTTCCATGGCGTTTTCAAGAGTTCTGTTGATTGCCTATATATTATACACAATTTTGTTGGTTAGTTATGTGCAACCGTGTAATTTTCAGTGACCAACATTCACCAGTTAAGAAACTGCTGTTTGTATCTCTCATAAAGTGCAGGCTCACTCAACTGGCGCACAACAAGGGATACATGCCCCAATGTTTTAAACCAATGGCCATTTGCTGCTATAATTTACACCACTGCACTTGCGTCAGCATAGTCAACCAACAGAATTTTGGTAATTATATCAGTACTTTTGATAGCAAACCTGTAAGGAAAGTCAGCATAACTATCTTCATATTGAAGACAGATAAATATGATTGACAGAATAGTGGTTTATCTAATGCCACCTATTGTGTTCAGATGAACTAAGGGACTTGCTAGCTCATAACCCTTCAAACCAGTCTTTCAGCCCTCAAAGCCCTCTCATTACTTTTTTCTAAAAATCCTCTAAAAACAATGGTACAATCTGCTGATGAAAACAAACAAACCTTCTTATCTGCAGCAATTTTAAACTTACTGTACTCTACCTTCTTTAACCTCAGTTAGTGCCATGATTGTTCACAATCTTTCTTTTCATGTAAAATTGTATGTGTCTGTGTGTTGGGGGCGGGGGGTTCCTTAATACACTGAATTGCCTGAGGAAGTTTTCACTTAGACTAAGTGTTTCCTGGTTTCAGACCACCAGTTAATCTGGAAGGAAGCCAGGAAGTACTCCGTCCGAATGAAGGTTTCCTGAACACAGGAAGTCAGTTAAGGTACAAAAGGCACAAAAAGACTCAGAATTATAAAAGGAAATGTTGAAAAGAGCAGCAAACTACAAAATGCATTTAGACAAGGTTCCTTCAAATAAGATATGAAAGTGGCTCAGAGACATGCCATCAAGGTATATGGTAGAAGATTTTGGCAGCACTTCCTTCTATAGCCTTTTAAAAATGGTTTTCAGTCAGAGCTTGTGTGCATGTGTTTGGGCAGGTTGGCATTGGGGTTCAGGCCTACAACTTAAATTTGGCTCTTGGCCTCGGCGAGATCCCTCACCCCTGGTTTTAACTGATCATAGGAATGCATTGGTGGAAAATCACATAATAGTTCAATTTATTTAGGGCCTTGTGGCTCTATTCCAAGAGCAGCTGAGGGAAAATGGCTTTCACTGTGCAGCTTAACATCTGACAATACAGTGTATTTTCATGAAAGTACTCTTCTCACCCCTCCTCAATTCCCTCATTCATGAGCAGCAGTTTTCAAACAAATTCAAGAGTTGTGGTGCTATCCTTTAGGTGTTGTTGGTTGCCTAACAGTCCAGAATTCTGACGTAAGCTAGCAACAAAGAGAGTAGAGATAGATAATTTCAGCGGGTCCAGTAGCCAATTGTGAGAGCTCAGATCTCAGTGAGAGCTGCACCTTCTCTTATTGCTGTATACCGTTGAAATTTGGTGATGCATGACACCCTGTCACTTTTTGCCAAAATATATATTAAAAGCATATGTCACTCAGACAAAGTAACTGGGGACAAGACCCCTTGTTTTACGGCAGTCTTGTGATTCCTAGTGATAGCTCATTTAAGTGATGAAACAATTTGTTTTGCCACGGCATACATTTGGTAGAAGCTGAGGGACTGCAAATACAGTGGGGTCTTGACTTGAGATAGCATAAATTTGGTAGAAGCTCAGGGACTGCAAATATGGCACAGCAGCTATATATTGCCCATAAGCTGCATTTTGATTGATTGATTATTGATTGATTGATTGATGGACTGTCTGATACCTTGCCTTTCTAATTAAAAAGGATGCAGGGCAGCTTACATAATCAAAAAACAACACTTAAAGCTAAAAACAATAAGTATACAAATACTAGAAGGGTCAAATACCACATTACAACACAATAAATAAGAACAAAAACACATTCAAAAGTAATGAGGCACAACAATCTCTTAAATGTTTAACACCCAGTTAGATAGACAGTCACTGAGGGAAAGCTTGCCTGAAGGGAAAGGTCTTCACCTGCTTGTCGAAGGACAGCAAAGATGGGCCTGCCTGTCTTCTTGTGGGAGGGAGTTCCATAGTCTGGGAGTAGCAACAGTCCCCATCAAACACACCTATGACAGTGGTGGGGTCAAGAGAAAGGCTTCTTCTTCTGATCTTAACACCCAGGTAAGCTCAATGTGTTCCTTGGGAGCTTTACAGGTTAGAATCAGCGCTTTGAATTGTGGCCAGAAACAGATCAGTAGCCAGTGGAACTGCTGTAACAGGGGGATTTTGTGATCCCTGTGACCAACCCCAGTTAGCATGTTTAACACCCAGTTAGATAGACAGTCACTGAGGGAAAGCTTGCCTGAAGGGAAAGGTCTTCACCTGCTTGTCGAAGGACAGCAAAAATGGGCCTGCCTGTCTTCTTGTGAGAGGGAGTTCCATAGTCTGGGAGTAGCAGCAGAGAAGGCTTTCTCCCATGTCCCCATCAAATGCACCTGTGACAGTGGTGGGGTCTTAACACCCAGGTAAACTCAATGTGTTCCTTGAGAGCTTTACAGGTTAGAACCAGCGCTTTGAATTGTGCCTGAAAACAGATCAGTAGCCAGTGGAACTGCTGTAATGGGGATTTTGTGATCCCTGTGACCAACCCGAGTTAGCAATATGGCTGCCATGTTCTGGACTTAATGAAGTTTCTGAACACTTTCCAGATGAAGCCCCATGTAGAGGACACTGCAATAATCCTGCCAGGAGGTAACTAAGGCATGTGTTACTTTGGCCATATCAGACCTCTCTAGGAACAGGCACAGCTAGCACACTGGTTTTAGTTGTGCAAATGGACTCCTGGCCACCACTGCTACTGCTGAAACCTTGCCCATTAATGAAGTAGAACCTTGGCCAGCCCAAGGCTGGCTTGTTGGTTTGGCTTATTACCGTGTTGGGATTGATCCCAAACTTGCCCTCTCCATCACCCAGGCTGTATTGAATTTGGGAGAAACGTCCAGCATCAGCATCTGTGGCTTGGACTCGCAGAATTACAGTGCCTAATGGGACATCTTCAAAGACAGATTTCTGTGAATAAGAAGAGCAAAAATAAATGAAGCCAGAAACTTGTGGTCATATTCTAAAGAAGTATTAAACCCACCCCAATGAGTACTATCATTTGTGATGCATATTTATCATATAATCAATTTGTTTTCTCTGATGAATGAATGAATAATATTATGATAAAATATCATGTGGAAAAATTAGAGCTGTTATTTGCATAACACATGAAATACTGAAATTTACTATCACAAAGGTTTTGCATTTAGGCAGGAAAAAAAATGAAAGTTCTAACTAAAGAATGTGGGTCATTTGGCTTGAAAGTTAGAAGCAGTAGATTTGAAAGAATTCTACATGTTCCATGGATGACAGACTATATATGAACCAGCACTGCAATGCTGCTACTTTAAAAAAAAACCCTCAGGCCGATAGCCATTTGTCAAGAGATTCTAAAACTACATCCTGCTTTATGGCCTGCATTCAACAAGAGATTAGATTACGTAACTCTTTAGATACCATATGATTCTAAGATATGTCAATAGCTACTAGCTCAGAGTTCTTTAAAAAGGATTACACAGAGTTATGCAAGATAGATACTAGCTAAAGTTAAATAATACATGGCCATTATCATCACCTTCTCACTAAGAGACTAGTTTCAGGCTACTACTTCCAGTTGGTGTGATCCAGCAATGGAATTCTTATGGTTTACATGTTCTTACAATAGTTTCACATTCCACTACATTATGATAGCTGAAATTGTTCTATGAAAGAACGTAAGTCTTCTGATTGAGGCTCAGAACTCACTAAGGCAAGAACTTCTAGAGTCATGAGTACAACACTGACACTTCTTGTCCCAAAGGGGACAACAAGTGCCCCCTTTGTTCAACCCCCTTCAAGAAGCGATACCCTCCTTCTTAGACCATGAGTCTCTTCTGCATACATGCTGCTAGGCCCTGCGCTGGTGACAACTAAGTAAGAAAAGTTGTGAGGCTATTCTGAGGAAAAGGCAGAGTCCATATTGGAGATCATGAGGAAAATAATCACAAATAAAATTATAATCTACTGCATGTTTTCATGCAAATATATGGAGCAGCTTCTTGTGGCATTCTGTGCCTAATTCTGGTCACCATGCCTCAGAAGAGATATTGTCGAGCTACAAACGTTGTAGAAAAAGGCAACCAAAAAGATTAACGGGATGGAGCAACTGTCTTACAAGGAATATTCACTATGGCCAAAATCTTGTTTTTTGGTTAATAAATTGAACTAGACTAGGCCCATTGAATTGGTGAATCCACTCTTCCATAAGTTCAATTGATTTAAGCAGGCCTACTTCAGTTGTGACTTACTATGCTAAGGAGAGCTACGACTAAAGTAGGTCCATTTAAATCAATCGACCTTACAGAGGAGTTGGCTCACTAAATCCTCACTGATTCAGTGAGCCCACTGTAGTATGATTTAGTATGCTAAGCAGCAGGATTTTGGCCAATATTAGGAACTTTTTATCTTGAAAAAGATGATGAGTAAAGGTATCTCACACATAGTGAAACTATGGATTTTATAGTACAAAATGTAGTGATGGTTTTAAAAGGAGAACTGAAATTAATGAAGAATAAGGCTATTATAGGTTGCTTGTCAAGATTGCTACAAAATAACATTACAGAGAGCATGTATCTCAATACTCCTCACTGCCTAACATAAATGAGCGGGTCCTTTGACACATGCAATTTCTGTTAGACTGGCCCCTCTGTGAAGAGAGATGGATTTAAATGGGCTTGTTGCCTCATTTTGTCACAGTAGTATTAGGCTAGTTCAAAACTTCATTGATTCTTAAGTTACAGAGAGTTATCCTCTAGTATTTCCTAATACATGGGCAGCCATTTTCTAGTATATGACACAGCAAGAGTGTTGCCTACAAAATGTTGTGATCCATAGAGCTCTTTGAGAAACAAGGGCACTGGACAGAAGAAGAACTGGTCTCAGCTGTTTGACATCATGATGCCGCCCTTCCCCAACTGTCCCTGTTCCCTTTCTGCCATTTCCTCACACACATGCTCTGTATCTTCTGTTCACCTGGTAGGACTGCTGGGTGAAGATGGGATTGTTGTCATTGATATCCACAATTTCTAAATATACTGGTATTTCAGCTGATCTCTGTGGAATCCCATTGTCTGAGGCCCGAACAGTGAAATTCAGCCACTGTACCTCTTCATAATCCAATGTTTGGTTGGAAACTACCTTTCCTAATAAAAACAAACAAACAAAAAATGGGTCAATATTAAAACTGATCCTTCTGCTTGTTATTCTTCCACTCTTCTGCAGTCCTCTGTCAAATAATTCTGAATGTGTATCAATAAGAAAGAAAGAAAGAAAGAAAGAAAGAAAGAAAGAAAGAAAGAAAGAAAGAAAGAAAGAAAGAAAGAAAGAAAGAAAGAATTCTCCCTCATTTTAAAAATGCATTATTAAAGGAAGTGATTAAAGAAAGGCATAAATATCAGCAGAAGACCTGCTAGAGGAAAAAACAAACAAAAACAAATGAACTGTTAGCAACTGTCAGCTGCACTTAAATGAACTTGTGGATTCAGGGTCTAAATATCAGAATGGCTATCAGAACACACCTGTCTTTTGGAAAGAAATCGTATCTGCACTTTGGAAAATAAGGAAGCTGGTGTTTAATGGAGAAAGACAATGAAATAGGAAAGGCCATCAGAATTCTAGTGTATTGAAATTGATTCTTTAAAAGTTGCCTACATGACACACATTGAAGTATGGATTTTTTTAAATTTTTAAATTTTAAGTTTTTGCCTGGGAAGCATGTTTTTTTTTGTTGTTGTTGTTGGGAGAGAGGTACTGTATTTTTTGCACCATAAGTTAAATTTTTAGTTTTTGCCTGGGAAGCATGTTTTTTTTGTTGTTGTTGTTGTTGTTGGGAGAGAGGTATTTTACTTAGCTGGGAGATGGTTGTTTATTTTAAATTGCTTGTGAAATGGATTCATTTTGAATCATTTTGGCACATGTGAATGCCTCTGTCTGTGTAAACCCTGTGCACAGGGTTTGCCACTCGTGTGCCTTCCCTGCTCTAGTTTTTGCCTGGGAAGCATGTTTTTTTTGTTGTTGTTGTTGTTGTTGGGAGAGAGGTATTTTACTTAGCTGGGAGATGGTTGTTTATTTTAAATTGCTTGTGAAATGGATTCATTTTGAATCATTTTGGCACATGTGAATGCCTCTGTCTGTGTAAACCCTGTGCACAGGGTTTGCCACTCGTGTGCCTTCCCTGCTCCCTGTCCTTCTCCACCTTATGTGTCAGTGCATGTTTGTTTCCCTCCTTTTCAAGCCTGGAGATGTGGATCTATTCAAAATGTGTCTGGTCAATTTCATGCCCAGCCAGTGGTTCTCTGCTCCTTCACTGCTCCTTCTCCACCCCCTATGAGTGTGTCTCTCCCTCCTTTGCAAAGCTAATCAATGTCTCTAGTCAGTTTCAGCCTTGGCTCTGTGTCTAAAAGCCTGTGTAGCCTCCCCTCAAATGATAGATAATACAGCTTAAAAAACTATTATATTTTCTCAAGAGGACAAATAAACAGACCCCAAAACCATGTGACTATCATGTGACTTTAGACCAAATTTAAAAAAACAAACAAACAAACAAACAAGAAACCAATCCATCACCTGATTTATTTCAATAGTGTAGCTGTGCCCCACAGTGGAGATGAAGGGGGCCATGCCTGCTTCCTCATCTCTCAAGAAAAAAGGCAGGAATATATCTCACAAATTGTGAGAGGGAAAGGAAGTGAATCAAAGCTCTGTAAGAATACATTTTACTGGAATAGATGGTTGGATGACAGAAGTTGGGGCTTTATTGGAATAGTGTATAGAGCAATGAGCAGTCAAAACTATCTACCCTTCATTGGAGATATAGCTTTCCAGCACTAGTGGAAATACAGTGGGAAATAAATTGGTATATCTATTTCCAATGAATAATAACGCCCTTTTTATGTTGTGGAAGAAATCCTTCTAAGAACTCTCTGGTTAAGAACAGGGATTCTTCATGTTGTCTCATCTACCTGCTGAGATGTCTTCAAGCTGGACGTATCCCTCAGGCGAAAGGTTTAGCAACTTATAGGTGATCTGCCCGTTAGCACCTTTATCTGGATCTACAGCAGACACAGATATCAGGGTAGTTCCTGCAGTAGCTCCTTCCAGGATCTTCTCTGTGAAGAACGTTGCCCCAAAAGGGCGGAAGCGAGGGGCGTTATCATTGACATCCAACACGTTTACTGTCAATTTTGCTGTGAGAGATGGAAGGTGGGAAGAAGAGAGAAAAAAAAGTGAAAATGTACATTAAACTGCCCTGCCATCTTTCCTTTCACCATCTTATCACTAGAATGTAGACCAGCCTTACCATTTGGCACACTAACTGAGCGTTCAACCACATCACTGGCATTGTCATAGACAGAGACTGTAACTTCGTAAGTAGCCACCAGTTCTCGGTTGAGAGTGGACTTAACTTTCACAGCTCCTGAAAATGTAGAATAGGAAGTAGAAAAGTTCCAAGTTAAGTAGAGCAACCAAAGCATGGAGGAGGCAGCTTCTATAGGCTGCAAAAATACACAGTTTTTTTTTTAAATCTTTTTCTTCCTACTCTCTTTTCATGTTCATTGATCATCTCCTTAGCAAAGATGGTCAGCAATGTTATCTACAAAACAATCAGTCACTCCTTTAATTCCTGTCCTTATTTATTAATATTTATTAATATTTTGTTTCTTTAAGTTCGTCTGTATTCCATACAGTTTGTTTATGAGCGGCATTTGTTTTTATTCAATAACATAGTAAGAGGTATAATATTTTGTGGGGAAAATGACTGGTTTTAAGTTAAATATACTCATATGGTGGACTCAAATATGTTTTTATCAACATATGGAGACCGCACTAAGGTGCAACTGCTGATACAGAGTTCTCAATTTGGGTTTGCCAAGGAACTAATTAAGTCTGCAATTCTAAGCATACTTAATAGGAAGTATGCCCTGCTGCTTGCTGCTAATGGTGAAATGTGTTTTTGAGTAAGTATGTGCAAGACTGCACTGTTAACTGCTCCCTGTGGCCAGCTTAGATCTTCATCAATGTCACAATTTAGCTTAAGCACACATTTCAAAGCCCTGTGATGAACCTCATGATCTGGTCTTAGAACCTGGTACGTAGCTTTTGTTAGGTCACAGCAAACTTATACAAAACCATGTGTTCTTGCTCCATGGGGTAAAGTACTGGATGTAGCCAAGTAAATCTCGGTTCAAATCTGAGCTCAGCTATGAAATTCACTTGAAGATTGAGTACAGAACTACCCTTCAAACTACTCTAAGCAGCAAAGTTGTGGTTAATTTTTTTTAAGGTGGCACCCTCAACTACTTTGGGAAAGGATGGATTAAAATGTGATTGACTGCAAGCAGATACCCATGGATAAAACTTTAGGATTATCAGACAGGACACTGTTATCATCTCAGTTACATTGTATTTGTAACCCCATTGTTACCTCTCTGCATACCAAAACACAAGACAAAGGGTCACTTACCCTAAAAATTCTTGCCCCTCCCATTCCCTAGCAGCTAGACGCTTCTGAAGAGCTGTCAGCATTCAGTCTGGGAAGGCTAGAACACAATATATGGCAGGCATGTGTGTTTCAGCTGCTGTTTCCCAGTAAAACACAATCTGACACTAAACCAGGGTGGATGAAGATGAGGATGGAGATGGAGAAAGTGACTCAGTTTGAAAGGAGACACCAAGTACACACAGAGGAAACACAGAAATCAAACCTGCAGGTCTGAGAGCCATAAGGAAAACAAGAAGATTAGAGTTAGTTGGAGCAAGTACGTACCATAACTGCACAGAAAAAAAATATAGATGATGCAAAGAAGAGTAAGAAACAGGAAGAAAGACAAAGAAAGAGGGGAGAAAAGCAGTGCGAAAGGCGAGGATAAATTTTTTAAAGCAGGAAAGATGGAAAAACATTTTCTTCACTATTTGTTGAACTGTTAAATATTTTGCCTCTTTTAAAGGAAAAATTGTCTTTAAATGTCAGATTCTTCCAGCTCTTATCTGCCATCAAGTCAATACCAACTTATGGGAATTCTTGCCAAGGTATCTTTGGTATAAAATATTCAGAAGTGGTTTACTAGTTCCTTCTTTTTTTTGTGCTGCAGATCTATGAAAGCTCATTTGATGTACTGTAACAGTTATTGTAAATGATACTTTGGGCGAATATTTATTTTCAGTGTTAAAAGAGTAGATAGCACTATTCCCACCCACTCCGCCATCTATTGATTCTGATTCTTCAGAAATTGTGCATGGTGTTCACTTACTTACACACTTCAATTGTTTAGAATGGTATTTCATCTCTAGCTTCTGTACCTGTTCTAAAGTCCACGGCAAAAGCTCCTTGCTGGTCTGGCACTACAGCATCTGTGTCATCTTTGGCCACGATTTCAAGGATGTAATATTCCAGCCGAGGGTTGAGATCTCTGTCTATTGCTGTCACTTCAGCCACAACTGTACCTATAGCAGCTGATTCAGGTATGCTGACGGTCTGGATGGGATTGAGGAACTCAGGCTGAGAGTCATTAATATCATCAATGAGGATGTTTACGGTGGCTGTGCCTGAGAGAGATGGTGTACCTCGGTCCATGGCAACCACTGTCAAACGGTAGTTGTCTTTTTCTTCTCTGTCTATGGTAGTGTTGGCCACACTGATAACTCCCATGTCGGCATTGATCAAAAATTTATCTTGAGCTCCACTTTCAATCCGATAGTTCAGCAGCTGGTTGAGGCCACTATCAAGGTCAGTCGCTGTTACCTGAAGGACAGAAAAACCTAGGGAGAAACCCAGACTTTAACATTAGAAGACTTTAAGTCACCCAGATCTTTGAGAACAAAAGAGTTGCCATTTTGGATCTATCCAACAGACTGCCATTCCTAGCATTCTGTTTCTGGGAGTAACTGCTGGAGCCACCTATAAAGAAAGGTACAAAGACATGTGTGCAATGTGAGATACAACAGCAAATATCTCCTTCCTGCCCCCCCAAAAAAAATTTTTGTGAAGAACAGAACACCAAAGAGGCTAAATGAAATCCAGAAGATTATAGTGGGCTGCATGAAGCTCTACAGCAGGATTTGTAGAGGAATGAAGAAGGCCATATGTGTTTTAGCTATTGTTTTTTTCTCATCATGCAGACAAAGCATAGTTAAATGTTTGTCCAACCATAAGGCCCAATGCAACACTTCCTCTGCCTGCAAAGCACAGTTCTATTCCATGTAACAGCTTCATCGCCTCCAGACTAGAGCAAGATTCCATGCAAGCATCCTGGGCTTTAAACACCATCTTATCCCTCACCTCCACTTATTGACTAGGAATAACGGGAGAAATAGCTTGGCTTAGCCCTCAACAGCTGAGACCAGTTTTGGTGTATGAGGTTCCCCATTCCTGCAACTACTGTGTACAACTAGTGAAATGTTGTTCCTCATTCTAACTGAATCCAGGTGTTAAGAACTGACAAAGCTAGTCTCTGTGTGTAGGAGGAAGACAGTCTGTGCTGGAACTCACAAGAAAGGTATTTGATGGGGACCAGAAATCTCTCAGAACATTAATATTGCAAACCCTTATCTTATTGCTTTTTCTTAACTCAACCAATTTTTACTCCAGTAGTTTGTTCCTAGCATACAATCGGGTTTAACAACAGGGAGAAAACCATATTCGCTGTTTTGGCCATAAATAGTCAAAGGCAGTAGTGCACACTATTACAAATGGGCCTTTTATTGTCTCTCATGGCTTCCTGACTCTCCACATTTTACATTTTCAGTTCTTTTGATTCTTCAGTGTTCCTCTTTCTATATTTCCAATGCTTATCTCCTGACCTTAGACTCCATTGCATCTTTGCCTTTGCTTTCATTCTGACCTGGAGGGCTGTTTTCCAGCAGTCGAGTGGTCAACACAGCTGGATGAAAGGTTGGCCGGTTGTCATTGTCATCCAGAATGGTCACTGTGAGGGTAGCAGTGCTGTTCAGTTTGCCAATATCCATTGCAACAAGCAGACATTCTATTCTTGGATTTGAGAAGGCTTCTCTGTCTATCAGCAGTCCTGGCTTCACCAGAATGATACCTGGAGATAAACATCAGTTAAGAAAATATGTCAGCCAACTGTAAATGAGAGCACTCAAGTGCTCCTCCAGTTCTAACTGACATGCTTCACAGGTGCCAAAATGAAAGCTGCAGTAAATTATTCTCCTCAAAATTCCATTTGCCTGGATACCTCCCTACCTGCAATCTGCATCTTTTCACCTGTGTGAAACCTCACAAGAGCTGTCAGTTGCTAAAAGAGAACCATTTTATACAGTTGATGGACTATGGAAAATCTTCCCTCTATGTACAAAACGAACATATCAAATGAGAATTTTTAGCTTTAGTTTAGCCCTCTTTGTAATACACTGTATTTCAGTGTTACGAATATTCAAACTTTCTGTCTCCCACTGGCTGTGGTACAAAACAGAACAACTTCTTCACAAATTTGAGGACTCAAAGAGTTCTGTGAGTTGTACTGCAGGACAGAACAAAAGGCCTCCTTCGTATCCACAGGACATTCATTTATTGCTATAAACATAAAGTTTCTAAATGCATTACCCCAGGAGGATGTAAACTACCTTGAGTTATCTTGAGGGCAACAAGAAAATATACAGTTCAGAGAATCTTCACAGAAAATCTGCCATTTTTAATGGCAGAGACCATGTTGTACGTTGCATTGCTACTTCCTTCTTCAGCTTTCAGTTCTTCCTCACCTTCTCCAACAGACTTTCTTCTCCCACAGTCCCGTTCCTTTCAAAACGCCTCCAGTTCTTTTTGCCTTCTGCTTCCAGCTTGCTCTCACAGAAAAAGATTCCATCCCCTCGTGGCCTCACCAGAGCATTACACTAGAAATGCTGTCTCCTGATGAAGGGTTTCTTACCTGTTTTGTTGTTGATGATGAAGAGATCCGCTGCTGTTCCAAGCAACTGATATGTCACCACTGCATTGATACCCTGGTCATTGTCCAGAGCTAGAATTGGCCCATTAAGGACTGTGAGATGGGTTCCTGAATTGAACATTAAAGTCTCAGTAACAGGGATACCAGCAGCAAACGAACCCCATTCCCTCCCAGCAAACGACAGAATGATCAACAATGAAAAATGACTGAGTGAAAGAAGGTGAAGGCCTATGAGACATGAAAGAACAGAGGAGTGTTTGGTGCAACCTTGGCAGACTGAATCAAGACGCCCTTAGGAGAAGCCTTATAGCCCTGCTAAAACAAAACATAGCACATTCATCAGGCATATTTAGATGGAAGTGGAATTTCAGTGGGGATGTTAGCTCCTTGGCCACTCACAACAAGAGGGGCAGGCCAGAACATGACACACTATAGTTTACCAATATGTTGAAAGTCACCGAAAAATGATTTAGAGCTCCACTGAGGACCATGGCATTTCACACAGGATGGGGAGGTGTGTCTATGTGCAAGCAGTAAGTGGATGCAATCACATTTCATGATTTTGACCCTCCAAACTATGATTTGGGTGAGGATTTTTAAAAAAAATTGCTTGCATAATCCATCCTTTCCCATTCCTGCCAACATGTGGTTTTGTAGATTACAATCTAATTTAAACAAACCACATGTATTATGCCAAACTGCAAATCATGGTTTGAGCGTTCATTTCAAGTGAGGATCACAACCCAGGATCCTACTGTGATTTGCAATCCTCATTTTGAAGAGTGATACAAACTCTACACCTTGCATGCTCAATCTACAGTTTGCTTATTCAGATATACCATTAAATTGTGGTGTGCTCAAACTAGAAAGAATTCAATTAGGTTGTATATGTGAGGGACAGATGGAGCACACTTGTTCCTGCTTCTCCCCCCATTCTGTGGTATGGAGGATCAAAAATGTAATGCAATCCTCATTTTGAAGAGTGATACAAACTCTACACCTTGCATGCTCAATCTACAGTTTGCTTATTCAGATATACCATTAAATTGTGGTGTGCTCAAACTAGAAAGAATTCAATTAGGTTGTATATGTGAGGGACAGATGGAGCACACTTGTTCCTGCTTCTCCCCCCATTCTGTGGTATGGAGGATCAAAAATGTAAATACAAGTTGTGGTGTGCTCAAACTAGAAAGAATTCCATTAGGTTGTATATGTGAGGGGCAGATGGAGCACACCTGTTCCTGCTTCTCCCCCCCCGTTCTGTGGTATGGAGGATCAAAAATGTAAATACATCAATATGTAAGGGACAGGAATGAATTATTGCGTATACACCTATCTCAGGACAAACACGAACACTAGAGAAAAATTTGGGACTAGAAGAGGAAAATCCTTACCTAATTAAAGTGTGTGACTGTTATAGCAAGAGGTTTTTTTTCACTTCTAGGAATATACAAACTAGCTTGTTTTGTTTGGTAACTGATCTTTAAGACTTAAGCCCTGGATTCCTTTGAAATTTGAGTTCATAACCCCTTCTTCCCCAGACTACCTTAGACAATTCTCTACAATATTAACTTGCTTTCATCTCTAATGTCTCATACTAACAAAGCCTTATAATTATCAAATGATTTTCATCCATACTATTTTAATTCAAGCAAAGAAATTAGAAAAGGCCTCAAGCCCATTTAACATATGTATAACTATGGCTAAAGTATATTACTATGTCCATAAAAATCCCAAATTGCTGGTTGCATAAAACCAGCAAAATGAGTCTGCAGCTTTATGGGAAGATGCTGATCTTCTTTACAAGAAGAAACTCTAGTTAAGTCAATAGTCACTCTAAATGAAAATGTAGACTGTACAATTGTATTAACATAGAAGGGTAATATTTTTTTTTGGTCCAGAGGGTCTAAATAGCTGTTGGCTAGGGGCCTGCACACAACCTACATGGACAAATGCAGGCTTCCTCCTCTCATACAATCTGCACCCATGTTTACACACACATCTCAGCATCCTTCCCTTTAACCATCTCCAGCCACATTGACATTTACACATGACAACTAATAGCAGGCAATATGTGACCTGAACAACCAAAGAACAGTCTTTTCCCCACATTCCAAAAGACTGTAGGCTTTCAGGGGGAGAGCAGTTTGGGTTCCCCTGACTTTGGAGTCCACAGAGGAAGCAAACAAGGACTTCATGAAGCCTCGAGACCACAAGCTCTGAAGCCCTGGTCATAGAATGGTTAATATAGGAAGTTTCCAAGAAGACTGAACTCCAAATAGCTACAAAAACTTAACATGTTGTAGACAAATCATCTCTTCCCGACGTTTATCCAATTTTAAATTTCCCATGTAGCATTTCTCAAACCAATTTTACTAGAGACATCTTCTGTTGTTATTTGATATAGCAGCTTCATTATTTTTTTAAATAGCTGTTGTAACACAAACTGTCCGAACTCCAAGGTATTGGCGTCGTTATAGCTTCAGTTTCTGTCAGTTGCTTCTTTCAAGTCAAGACTATTTATTTTCATTAACAGCAAGTATCAGAGGAATTTTTTCCATTTCCTTGCATCTGTGCTTTTGGACTGGTTCCTCAGCTTCTGAAAAAACCAGTTAGGGATAAAGAGGAAAGCGCTTGCCAAATGACATTGCAATGGGAGAAAAGATAACCACTTTCTATGATGTTCAAAACCAAAACAACACAAGATTCTTCCTCCTTTGTAACCACATTGTTTCTTGAACTTGTATTTAGCAGAAGACTGTTCTGAAGAAAAACTAGGATTCTTTCATTAAGAGTTGTGTTGGGTAAAGAGATGTGCAATTAAGATTTGAGATGTATTGGGGGCCACACTCACCTGGTGCTGAGTTCTCCAGCACCTCAGCCTTGTAGGAACTCTGAGTGAAGAGGGGGTGGTTATCGTTTTCATCTGCCACTAAAATCACCAGCAAGTCAAAATCCTGAAGTTGTATGAACAAAAACAAAAAAGGAGAGAGAGAGGGAAAAAAATCCATAATTGCTTTGGCAAAATTTTCTTCTGACTTCATGACTATTGAAGGAACACACGTGTGTGTGTGTGTGGGGGGGGGGTTATTGCCTGCCCAATCCTGAAGCTTTTGTGGTGAGTGTCAAAAGCTCCTCTATATTATACTGCTAAAATCAGGAATCCCAGGGGCTAAGAGAAACAGCAGGGTTACGAAAGACTTCTGGGGAGTTTCCAGGGTTGATTCTCCAGCACTGAAAGGGAAGATCTAAAACTGGCTCTCCCACCAAGCACCAAACAGCTATTAAGGAATTTTGCACAGTGGCTCCTTCCCAAGGTTAGATGTTTTGACCTTGGAAAAGGGCAAAAGTGGGGTATACTGGGACTGTAGCACTAGGCCTGGACGGAGAAGAGATCTGTGGGATTCACAACCCTCTCAGTCCCTAGTTGTGCCCATTAAACAAACAACACCTTATTCTCAGGGAGCACAAAACAAGCCCCGTGGAGAGGGAAAAGGAACCAAAAATGGGCTTTGCTGGTATTTCAACCTTGTTAACAAGAGCCCAGCAGTGTTTTGGTTGAAATAAGGCCTCCTAGATCAGAATGTTGTGCTGATTGGGCTCCACACCATTAGGACTACACCTTTATCGTACTACAACTAATTTAACACAGAACCTGGAAATACTATTTTTACTACATTTTTACTACATTCACCAACCACCATGGCCAACCTTCTAAGTTGTGGATTAGTGCCCTTTATTACTGATTAGCCTGGGAAAATTAAATATAAGAATTACTGTCTCAGTAAATCCCTCTTTTATTTTGTTTTCAGCCCTATCTGTAACACTGTAGAAATGTATTATCTCTGACATCTCATGTATCAGTAGATAGCCATCATCATCTTCTTGTTCTTTAAGAAACTCTAAAGACAGCTGAGTGGTAACTGAAGGCCCTATCATGAGAAGGGAAAAATTAACTCAAGAGCTATTACAAATATTTTAACCCTGAGCTTGGAAACCTTGGGCAGGATCCTCTGATAAGGAATGCCTGTGTCATTTGCCTTTATATATTTGATTAATTGAGCAGCACAGTATTACACAAAATGCTTTGAATAAATCCACCACAATGTGAAACACATAGTACAATGCATAATTACCCGTCTTGCATTACGTGCATTTTCTGGATTATCCTTCACTGCCACTGTCAGTCTATATTCTGACACCCGCTCCCTATCCAATGGGTGGTTTACATACACTATGCCAGGTTAACAGAAAGGAGAAAGAAAAAAGAGAGAGAGAGAGAAATATCAGTGGAATTGCATTCATTTCTTTGATTCCTGTTGCCAAATGTCTGTGATGGACAAAGCATGAGCAGGAGAAGGTTCAGCAGGGACGACCTCATTGCATTTCTTAAGCACAAACCATATTCTTGAGTTAATTATTCAGGCACTGGGAATTCTTGGTGATGGGGGGGCGCATGTTGGAGAGAGGTTCAAATTGTCTAAGATCATGTACTATATTTGCAGCGATATATTCAGAAATGTTTTCAACTGTGTAAAGGTAAGACATGTTTGCAAGATCATGGATGAAGAATCAGTTGTCCACTAGGTTAGAGAGTCAGCTGAGGGCAGCAGGTCATGTAGAGTCTGTTGCAAATTTCCCAGTGGCCTGTGCCTGCAGACTAAGGATGTTAATCTTCTCTTGTCTCACACTTGTATACCAAGATAAGTAACTGCAATAATCTTTTCTTTATGGGCAAAGAATTTCCTGGCACTATCAATGGAGTGCATTGGCAAGAATAATATTTTAGGCCAGATTTGTGATTTTTGCACAAAATTGCCCCTTTCTGTGTTGCTAACTTTTGCACATAAAATCATAAAACTGCACAACTCACTCCACAGAAGGATGGCTGCTACTTTAAGACATTGCACATTTGAATGTATTGTTTGCATCTTTCCTAACCATTACCCAGTCTTTCTGTGCTTGCTCTGTGCGTGTACGTTTCTTCTCAAGGAGAAAGGACTATAGAGCCAAGATATTGAAGTGGTGGTGGTGGGGAAGTCTCTTAGCCTAGCTCTCAGCTGAAGATGAGGAATCTTGAGGGACTCACTGAGTTGCTTCTTTGTATATCATACAGACTAAATCATCGAGAAGAAGTAACTTGGCAAGTATTCTTTCTATCTCTACTGTAGCCTAATAGCTGAAAGCCTGTTCAGTCACTGGAAGCTGGTTGCAGAAAAGAGGAGAATCACAAGATAGGAGCCACAGCGACCATCAGCAGGTTCTTTACATAACGTTTTCTGACCAGGCTACTCTATGCAATGTGAAACTTTGAAGCTGTTTTTAAAACAAATCTTTTTGTTGTCATTTTAGTGCTCATATTTATTGTTGTTGCACAATAAAGTTTAAAATAGTTAATATACCACAAAATGGTTGCTATAATATTATAATATATTCTAACTTACATTATTGGCTGACTTGGGATACCTAACCGAAAGCAACGTATTTTAACAAACAATAATGCATAAATACATATGCCTGAAATAGGTCCCTGAGATTGTGTAGCTTACATTTCTGCTCAGGTTCATAGTGCAGGAAGTGTTGTTTTACCCAGCAGGTAAAAAGGAAGCCTGGAAACTTACGGTGCCATTGATGTAAAAAGCATTGTCTGTATTTCCTGCTGTGATGCTAAAAGTTAAAAGAGCATTCCTGCCACTGTCAGCATCATTGGCAAAGATGCGGGTGACGACACTGGAAATGGGTGCATTTTCACTGAGAGTGAGATTCATTGGTAAGTTTAGAAGGACAGGATCATTATCGTTTATGTCCAGAACACGCACTCCCACCATGACCTAAAACACAAATAAGAGGCAGGTGAGGAGAGGAAAAGACATACTGCAGACTAGAGGAGTGCAGATTGATGTTTTCTGGACTACGACTCCTAGAATCACTGAAGGGAACTCTGGGAGTCCAGAAACGCAGATCTGCACACTTCTCCTGTAAACCATTAATACCACAAATGCTGCTGTGCAGGATTTCTTCCACACCCGTCTCAATCACATGGCATTTCCCCAGAAAACTTCACAAGAGACAACAAGTGCCCGAGATTTTTCCTCTCCCTTAACCACGTGCAATTCAGCTTTTAATTTACAGTTCCTTTCTCCTCCTGATTTTAATGCATTGACTTGATTTTAATGGTTTTTACAGTGAGGGGGTTGGTGTTTTTTTTAAAATAGTTAAATAGAGTTTCACTTCTCTTTATTCTTTTTAAAAATTCATTTTTAATAGGAATAGGAGTTGGAGTATAGATACAAGGGGGTAGGACGGGGATGGGTTAGGGTAAAAATCTCTATTATGATCCAGCCGCTGGAGGGTCCCTGGACCTCGAACAGCGGAGCTGGCCTTGCCTTCCACCTGGGATATCGCGAGACGGGTCTCACGTGATCCCTAGGTGGGAGGGGAAAGCCAGGGTATTTAAAGGGCTTTCCCCTTTGGAACGCCCTCTTCTTTTCTGGTTGCCTTTATGGGGCCGGATAGGAATTTTGGTCTTCATCCTGATTGGACTGTGGATGGGGGTGTTTTTGCCTATCCCACACTAGAAGAGGGTTGTGGCAAGTCGGTGGAATTTGGTTCGGTCACACTGGCGGGTAGTGCGGAAAAACCAGGCATTTACGGTAGGTCCCGCTGTAATTTCAAGTAAGCCAACAGTACATCCTACCACCTGGCACTGCCGATCGTGCAATTACAGTGCCTGTGGCGGGAAGATGCGCTGGGCCACTTCCAGACTAACAACCCTCAAATCAAGGTGTGGGGGTGTTTGTTAGCGGCCAGCCAGGGTCCTGCTATCCTTAAGGTCGCTGGAGCCTGGGGACGGGGACTCGCCCTTTCATTGATCTAGGAGTATTTAGATACGTCATTTAACTGTTTCCGCACTATGGCAGGCCCCTCCTTCTGTTTAAAAATGTGGAATGTCAATGTATAATAATAAAGTGTGGCCCGTATTTTAACCCATATCAGTGTCTCGTGTTTTATTCCGGGGTTGGGAGGGCCATGAGATTTGTAAGCTACTTTAGTTTGAGCGCTCTTTTCTAACAGAACAGTGTGTCAAGAATATAAGAAATAAATGGAAGTTTCAGCAGAGCACCTTTGCTCTCTGACCCCATAATCACTAAGACTTACACTGGAGCTGAGAGGTGGCACTCCTCTGTCCTTGGCCACAATGGTGAGGTTATAGAAAGCAATGTTTTCACGATCAAGCTCCGCATCCTTCCGCACGCGCAGCTCTCCTTCCACAGGAGAGATCACGAATTCTCCTGCAAGACAGGCACAGTCACGCTTACGGGGGAGAACAGCAACAAGCAATCTTGTTCGTAGGCACGTCTGACCCACTCCCTGCTCTGGAAAAAGCAAACAAAAGCTTCCTTTTCTCCTGCTTGCCTTTCGAGGGGAACCATGTTCATGCAGAAACATGAGAACATGCATTGGGAAGAGAGGAGTACAGTCTCCCTAAATGTCCATCTGCAAAAGTATCAAGTTGCTGGGCGCAGACCTGAGGATCAAAATGCGCTCCTCGTGTCATCTGTGCTAGGCTTTCTCATGGCACACGGCTGCGGCTTTTCTGAGCAGCAACATGTAGTTGGATTTCAATTCCGATATCACAGATATAGCCTTGCCCTACCTAAGAGAGAATTTAAGCTGTCTTGGGAAGTAGTCAATACAACAGAACACAACATGGTCAAAAAGGGAACACTGCATCTTACTTATTTATTTGTTTGATTTTTCTTCACTACCTTCTAGACTTCAAAAGTGTACAACCAAATCGGGAAAAAAATGGAACACAACAAAGCAAAGAGTAATATAGCAATCCTAAAATAAAAATCATACTTTGGAACCAAATAGCACCACACGTCATACAATATTGAATAAAGGTTAATAAATAAGCCAAGGAAAACAGCTAAATCTTGAGTCCTTGCTTGAATGCCTAGTATGGTGGGGTCTGATGAACACCAGCTGGAACACATACTACCAGGGGCTGTTACCAAGAATATCTTCTCTCTCATGCTCAGTGGTCTCTACTTTGAGAGACTAGTATCTAGGTAGGGCCTTTGATATCAATCTCCAAGCTCATCAAGTTATTAACGAGTGAGGGCAGGCCTTCAAATAAATTGGATCCAAACAGCTTATGGCTTTGAAGGCTAATTCCAGTGCCTTTAATTGACTGCCTAGCAGCTATCAGTACTCAAGCAGCAGTGTTTTATACCAGCTGAAATTTCCACACTATCTTTAACAGCAGTCCCAGAAACAGAGCAGTGCAGCGAATTCAGCCTACACAGGATGTGGGTAGAACATGGATAAATGAAGCAAGGTTCGTCTCCTTCTCCAGATAAGATCACATTTAATGTGCAATTAGATTGGTCAATTACACATTGCAAAGAAAGGGCAGAGATATACATAAAGAACATTCTTCTGACAACTCTTCAAAGAAAGGGCTGTGCTCTGTAATGTAGGCCACATGGCCACCCTGCCACCAGCTTAAGCTAGAAAAAAGTTCTTTCTTGCTGTCTCTTGAACATCCCCAGAAAACTGTCCTGGGAGAAAGCTGCACAAAACATGCTTACTTAATTTAGTAAGTGGAAAGAATACAGAACGGAACACTTTGCCAGCATCGCCCCTCCTCCACAAAGGATTAGCAGCACTGTCATACCCACCAAAACAAATTTTAAAAATGTAGTATCAAAAGTGTTGCTGATCTCTGATTACATCCTAGCCCCATACAGAAGTCTTGTCCAGCCTAGTAGCCTGGTCTACTGAAACTTGAGTAGATGTGCACTCTAACAGGGGAGGCTTAAGAACAGAAGAGCCCTGCTGGATCAGGCCAAGGGCCCATCTACTCCAGCTTCCTGTATCTCACAGCGGCCCCACCAGATGCCTCTGGGAGCACACGAGACAATTAGATACCTGTCTCCTGATGCTCCTCCCCTGCATCTGGCATTTTGAGGTACCTTCCTTTTAAGCCTGGAGATTGTATATCTCCAGGCTTAAAGGTAGACAGAGTAGACTTTGGTCTAGATGGGTGGGATATAAATCTAATCGATCAATCAATCAATCAATCAATCCTCATCATGGCTTGTAACCAGAGATGGACTTTTCCTCCAGAAATCTGTCCAATCCCCTTTTCAAGGCATCTAGGCCAGATGACACCATCACATCCTGTGGCAAGGAGTTCCACAGACTAACACCATGCTGGGTTCACAAATGTTTTCTTTTATCTGTTCTCACTCTCTCAACACTCAATTTGAGTGAATGTCCCCTGGTTCTGGTATTGCGTGAGAGGAAAAAGAGCTTCCCTCTATCCACTTTATCCACCCCCTGCATAATTTTATACGTCTCAATCATGTCCCCCCTCAGGTGCCTTTTCTCTAGACTCAAGAGCCCCAAACGCTCTAGCCTTTCCTCGTAAGGAAGGTGCCCCAGCCCAATAATCATTTTAGTCACTCTCTTCTGCACCTTTTTCAGTTCCACTATGTCTTTTTTGAGGCACGGCGACAAGAACTGCATGCAATATTCTAGGTGCGGCCTTATCAGTTTGATTTGCCCATGAACCAGATACACCTGTCCTTCTTTTCAATTTTTCAGCTGTAGGCCTGGTCTACTGAGTCCTGGGTAGACCAGCCCTCTGTTGCTTCTGAGGCACCTGATGTTCCCATTGTTTTTTTGTTTTCCCCTAACAAACTGGTCTTTTGGCCATGCAACCTGCCAAAACGTGATGGCTCATCCCAGAAGCCTGGTCTACTGGCATTCTAAGGCAACAGACCAGCTTGCCAGCCAGTCCTACAACTCTGCGACACGAGGCACACCCACTACATTTGGCACCTTGGGGCAAAGGCCCAGTTGCCTCACCCTAGTTAGGGTGCTAAAGCCTTTCCTTGCACTCCATGCTGGATCAGTCAGTCTCATACAGTTCCTCCCATAAGCCTCTCATACAATTCCTTCCTGAATCTCATAATGTCTATTTTGTCCATTATTTTATTTCCAACAGCAATGAGCCAGATGCTTCTGGCCACTTATGAGCAAAGTAGGATGGCCACAACCTGTTTGTCTCTAGTATCTGATATACAGAGATATGCTACTGTTGGCTATGGAGGTTTCATTTAGCTATGAATTTACCTCCTCTGACTCAAAGTCATGAATTCATGCCATTCTTTAAGAAGTCATAACTCAGTTCTACAGAGAAAATTCCACTACTTGCCTTTTCTGAACCTTCCAACAACCTATTTTAGTGGTGAATTGAAAAGGCCCAGAATCTACCAGCTAGCACTACCACTGCTGGCTGTACCAGCTGGGCAATTCTGGGCTTATTAACCAAGACAATAATTCCCTGAGTTGGGAGCGAACCAGAAAAAGACAGACTGTCTTTATGCATTTCCTTTATCCCATTCATCAGCTGTAAACTTCTATCACACTCTCAAATCACTTTGAAAATATCTGACTTAAATGCACTAAATGTTTTACCACTTCCTCTCATGTTTGTTTTCTTCCATCATTCTCCAAAACTGCCTTTTTTTAGTGCATGCATCTATGTACTTGGCTAACAGATTCAGCTGAAACTTGTTTGTATGCCTTTTTTTTAAAAAAAAAATTGAACTGAAAATGAAAGTAGTTTAACTATTGACTATTTATATATAACACTGAAGTGAGTTCTCTTAGACTTCCTCCTTGTTATTTCTCTACACCAGCAAAGAATAAAGGGCTTTTAATATTTTAATCCATTTGAACATGACTGTCTTTTAATCTGACATTTTATTCATTTGAATTAATATCTGACTCATGCCTTTTGGAACCATGGAACAGGGGTGCACATAAATGATGAAACAGGAATTTTTTTCAGAGGGTCAGGAGTTCTTCAAGCCATGGCACGATGCCTGAAGACGGTGGCAATGACAGGTAGGGCCACTATATTCAGAGGGCAAAGTCAGCATTTGCTCAGGATGCACTGTCTGTAGGGGCTCTCATGAAGAGGGGGATGGCGTGGCCAGAGCAGCAGCAGCAGCCAGGCTGGGAGCCATTGGGGCTGCAAGGGTGAGGCTGGCCCGGGGTGCAGGTGGTGCTCTCAGCCAACAAGCCATGGTGGATGGAAGACAGAGGGGGCTCAGCTCCTTCGCACATCACATCCTGCCCCTAATGGCCTGCCAGGGCCCTGCCACCGGGGAAGAGCCGTGGGACCCCCTGGCGGGTGTGCCACCCTCCTCCTCCTCCTCTCCACTTGCCTAGAGGCCAATCAACAGCTGCCACAGGCACCACCAAGGTGGCTGATCTTCCAGTGCTGAGCAGTGTTGCTGCGCGAGCAAGAGGTGCACATGTGGCAGGAGCTGCAGGGCACCACCACCCGACGAAGAGAAGGTTGCCCTCCTGCACTTTGGAGATCCTGCTCTGGAATGTCTTCTGCGCCCCTGAAGATGCACACAGCTCTCTTCGCCCCTGGTCGCTCCAACCGCGCACCTCAGCAAGACCTGCCTCTACTGACAGAGGTCTGGTGAGGAAGGCGGGGGGGGGGAAGAGAAAGGAAATCTGGCTGGGACTCACGGGCCACTTTACTTAGGCTCAGAGGTAATCTTCCCCTCCAGCACCCTCAGTTGGCTCAAAGTGCGTGTGGGCTTCCACCTCCTCCCATGCCTGTGCCTACGACCCAAAAAAACAGGCAGCCTCCCTCCCTCCCTTCATGGGGTCTGCTCTGGATTTCAGCTTTGGCATATCCTGCACACAATGTGCTCAAACTTTCCTCTTTTCTGGGCATGTGCAGAGTGCATCGATGCTCATCTCTAAGCTTTCCTTGCCTTGCCCCTCCCTCATAAACTAGACTTTCTTTTACTGTTACGTTTGTTTGTTTACCTAAGCATTATTACTGTCACCAAGATTACCTTAGGGAGTCAGTCAAGCCCTGGTCACCTGAGGGAAATGTTCTCTAGTTATCCCCCAGTTAGTTTGTTGCTTTTTTTTCTGGTCACACAACAGAAAGACAAGACTGAGACATTTCCTTGGCCAGCGGTATAACTGCGGAACATTTCCCCATCACTAGGAGGGTTATATTATTTTGTACTTTGTTGTATTGGTCCATTCCTTACTGGGACTGCCTGTGTGCAGAATCAAAGTCAGGGAGGTGGCCACCATGATTGCAGCACACATTTTTTTAACAAAATTGTACTCAATACATCAATACTTTGGTTAAAGTATGTCACTGCGGAGCCTCCACCATTACAGTGGTGCCTCGCATAACGAGCGCACCGTTTAACAACGAATCCGCATAGCGATCTATTTTCTTAGATCGCTATGCGATTGCATTGCGATGTTTTAATGGGTAAAACATCGCATTGCGATGATCGGTAAGCGTTTCGCTTACCGATGTTCGCATTGCGATGTTTCTAAAACAGCTGATCGGCGGTTCCAAAATGGCCACCGAGTGACCAAAATGGCCGTCACAACCATTTTCGCACCCTGCCCTCACTTACCGAGGGCGCAAAAATGGCAGCGCTATGGAGGAACTTCGCTGAACAGTGAGTTTGGGCCCCATAGGAACGCATTAAATGAAGTTTAATGCGTTCCTGTGGCTTTTTCCGTTCTGTTTAGCGATGTTTCCTCATAGCGACAATTAATCCGGAATGGATTAACGATGCTATGCGGGGCACCACTGTACATTATTTGTGAGTAATAAGGGTGTGTTTCTTTTTTAAAAAAATTATTATTCTATGCGAAGATACATTGAAATGCTGGTATGCCAATGTCACCGGTGGGGTGTCTGTGTGATCGCCAGTATTGTTGTGCAGATATCTCAAGTCCATTGTGTGCAAGGCCTTTCTGCAGGAGCAGCCAGTGCAACAGAGGACACTTTCCTAAACGCAACCCATTTCCCAATCAATGTTCCCTCTAATTTCCATTCCCCCCCCATGGATGAATCCACCACCCCTCCTTGTGGGGTTCCATTGTGACTGGAATGAAAGGGGCTGGAAACAATCACTGTGGGTACAAAAGGAAAGAGGAAAGCTGTCCAGAGGGGGCAGGACGGAGTCGAGCATACTCATGCAGTCACGCACCTCAGAGGGAGTCTTGTTTCTGATATACTGATGTATCAATAAATATCATTTTAAAAATACATACATACATACATACATACATACATACATACATACATACATACATACATACATACATACATACATACATACATACATACATACATCAGAAACAAGGCTTTATAAATCAAGGGGCTAAATTGTCCCTTCAAGCAAGAGAGAAAATAAACTGGTACGATGGTGTAGCCAGCTATAGCGATTCAAATTCCAGGATATAAACCATGTGACTGAGATTCAGTATTGGAAGTACAGGTACTGGAAGAACTAGAAAACATTTTCCTCACGTGATCAGGGCCTTATTTCTGTTATATTACATTGTCCGTATTAATATAATTAACACGAACAATGTAATAAAACATAAATAATTAATAATAATATAACACAAGGTTGACTCAGCCTTCCATCCTTCCGAGGTCGGTAAAAGGAGTACCCAGCTTGCTGGGGGGGCAATGTGTAGCCTGTATAATTAAAATTGTAAAACCGCTCGGAGAGTGCTTGTAGCGCTATGGGGCGGTATATAAGTCCAATAAATAAATATAATATAAGACCCTATCTTATTTTCGGAGAAACATGGTAGGTGGACTCTTCATCACTTTGTCTTTAATCTCTGCCAAAGCAAGTTAAGACTCCCTTTTTTGGTTCATGGGATGAGCTTGCAAAACCAAAGGCATCTTTTAGTCTAGCAAGTACGACAATTTTGCACTGTTTCCTCTCATGGCGGATGCTGCTTGTAACAGGATTTCCTGATTCAGACACTCCAACTTCTCAGAAACAGCCGCTGAAAGGAAAGTTTTGAAATGTTCCATTCACTATCCTAAGACATTTCTCCACACCCTTTCCCCCTCACTGAAAGTGTGTATTTAAAAAAAACAAACCTCCTTCTGTTTGTACTGAGTGTTTGCACTCTGATTTCAAAACGATTTCTAACTGATGAAAGTCTCAATCTAGCACAAAAACTGTGCTTACTGTTGAGAGCAAAAAAGCACTACAATCAGCCTGCAAACCTTCAGGTCTCACACAGAAACTTTTATTGCTAAACGCCACACAAAATCTACTTAAAGTAGGGAAACGACTATTGATATAAATTCCTACTGTTCCTAAATAACAGAGAATGTAATGTCATGGAGCAGACCAGGTAACACAAGATGTCTACAGCAATGTTGTAATTACAAATTACTGCTAATCATTCCTGTAGCATTTCTAATGTGCAAAGTGGTTTCTCCTTTGTCATTGCAATACTGAGGTGTGCTCGTTAGGACATCCACTTTACAGACCAATTTTACAGACAACGACTTGCCCAAGACCACCAACAAACCAAAGAATAAACTGAAAATTGAATAGATCTCTGAATGGAGGTCTCAAAAAGGAGTGCTGAAAAAAAGAAACCTGTAGATTAAAAAATTAGCTTTTACGTGAGTCCAATGAAAGAAACCGTTTCACACATATGGAAACTAGGGCTTGTTATTTTCTTTGGGAAGCACCTTACATTGTGGGAGGAACATTCTTTCCGTATTGTTTACACTACAATACAACTATTTTCTAAAATGAGTGGAAAATGCAAACACAGTATTTTGTTAACTTCTCTTTCACTACTCACCAAGGGGGTCTCCTGCTATGATGCTGTACTCTACTTGTCCATTGGGCCCCGAGTCTCCATCGTGGGCCAGGAAAGTCCACACTCTTGGGCCTGGCTGACCTTCAGTGATATCAAAAGGCCCTTCATAAGAACGTGGGAATGTTGGTTGGTTGTCATTGATATCATTCAAGTTCACTAGCACCTGAGATGAAGATAATAAAGCCACACAGGAGTCCAACATGCTTTATAATTAGACGGCAAAGCAGATTTGCCTGTGTTAGTGTCAATTTCTAGAACTTTGCCTATAAGCTATGACATATGTTATCAAGATACTGCAGGTGCCTTTCACACCATTAGTGGCACGGTTTGGACATTTTTGTTTATTTCATTTACTTCAATAGTTCTTCTTTTTTTTGCATTGCAGCAAAACATTTTGCCTTCTCCTACATGTAGGAATTAATGATAAATAAGACCAAAACAGCAACAACCTTAATCTTCTGTAATATAACAGGATAATTGATAGCCCAGTTTTAGATAAATTAAGATTGGGAAAAAGTTTGACAGGTGAGGTTGCTTGCACTGAAAAGGGTGGATTAATGCATCCTTGAAACTCTGTGTGATCAACTTGCTGGCATTTATTTTGTTATTTCAACTTCACTTATTTTCATTCAAAGCTTGGAAATAATGCACCCCAGGTACCAGTATTATCTGTAACACATTACTTTATTTTATTTATTTTTATTTATTGAATTTATAGCCCTCCCATCTAGTCAATAGACTACTCTGGGGGGGGGGTGTAACTTTTTTGTGAAAATTGCATAATGGCTAGCAACATTCCAAAATATTGACATAGCCAGAAACACATTTCCTATCACTACAATTTTTAATTTTTTAAATTTCACTTCATTTGTATTCTTTATCTGGATTTTTTTTTCTTCCGTTTTTTCCCCCCTTCTATGTCGGGCTGCTCACTTGGCATTTTCCCCCCCAAACTGGCCTATTAAGTTGTCATGAAACACTCTCACCACAGTAGCTTCTAGTGAGAGTTTAAGCTTGATTTGCTCTAGAACCCACTTATTTGTTTCTCTGGCCGTCCTTGGTATCTACAAAAAAGTGTTCTAAAGCATCATATTCCAAATGAGTCATTTTTTAAAATGCCAGCTTTCTCCATTGTCCAGCTTTCACATTTGTACATAGTAATTGGGAATGCCACAGTACAGATTATATTTGCCAGAAGCATTTTTTGTTTTCAGCTATTGAAAAACATTGAGGAAATGTTTATATTTAGTTTATCAAACTGATACAAGCTGTTCATAAGAAGAAACTGGACATGTTCAGTAATTTTCAAAAAAGAATGAAGCTTATATATATATATAAAGGGGACACAAAAATTCAGCATTTAATCCTTTTCTGAATTGAGTGTGGCATCAGCACTTGCTGTGCCAGCTGCAGAGACTAACTGGGTGATGTGCCCAAGAACTCCTAAGCAAAGACTTGTATTTTAACTAGGCAGAAGAAATAACTCGTCGTTTAGTCGCTTAGTCATGCCCGACTCTTCGTGACCCCATGGACCAGAGCATGCCAGGCTCTCCTATCTTCCACTGCCTCCCAGTTGGGTCAAATTCATTCTGGTAGCTTCAATTACATTGTCCAACCATCTCATCCTCTGTCGTCCCCTTCTCTTCATGCCTTCACACTTTCCTAACATCAAGGTCTTTTCCAAGAAGTCTTCTCTTCTCATGAGATGGCCAAAGTACTGGAGCCTCAGCTTCAGGATCTGTCCTTCCCGTGAGCACTCAGGGTTAATTTCCTTTAGAATTGATAGGTTTGTTCTCCTTGCAGTCCAGGGGACTCTCAAGAGCCTCCTCCAGCACCACAATTCAAAAGCATCAATTCTTCGGCGGTCAGCTTTCTTTGTGGTCCAGCTCTCACTTCCGTACATCACTACAGGGAAAACCATAGCTTTGATTATGTGGACTTTTGTTGGCAAACTGATGTCTCTGCTTTTTAGGATGCTGTCAAGGTTTGTCATTGCTTTCCTCCCAAGAAGCAGGCGTCTTTTAATTTCGTGGCTGCTGTCTCCATCTGCAGTGATAATGGAGCCCAAGAAAGTAAAACCTGTCACTGCCTCCATATCCTCCCCTTCTATTTGCCAGGAGGTGATAGGACTTAGTGGCCATGATCTTAGTTTTTTTGATGTTGAGCTTCAGAGCGTTTTTTGCACTCTCCTCTTTCACGCTCATTACAAGGTTCCTTAATTCCTCCTCACTTTCTGCCATCAGAGTGGTATCATCTGCATATCGGAGGTTGTTGATATTTCTTCCAGCAATCCAGCTTCTAGTAACTTCCACAGCATTCTGATCTTCCTGCACATGCAGCCAAAGGTAAGGCTGTTCCTACCAGTACACATAAACCTACTTACTGGACATCAGCCAAAAGGATGGCCTTACCTTGAGTTGCATATGTTTCAGAAGATTGGTTTTTTTTTAATCCCTTGAAGTATGCATCAGTTCCTTTAAACAAAGTTTTGCTTTTATCTATGCCAGTCCAATGGCTCACACAACTCTGGTGTTACACAACTGATAAATGAGATTTTTTTGACATTGCATTAAACTATGATTTTGCTATGCTACGGTATGTTTGCACTTTTGTCTTCTAAATAAATTCTTGGTTTATATCCCAATAAATTGTACAGCAAAGACATGAATTTAAGCCTGATCTCAGAGTTGTCGCTTATTATTTCATGCTACTGGGGAAGCCTATATCTTAGTAAGAACACTGGTAAAATCTATCACTTTTATACAAAGAAAGACATGCTTAGTTAAATGCCCAGCCTAGGGCTGGCTAAATATGGATGGTGTATCTTGGGTGTGTCTTCTAAAGCATAAAGATCTATCATATCTGGCCTTGGTCTTCAGCAGCACAGCCTTAAAATTAAGGTTCTTCTTTAGTTACTTAGATGCTGCCATTCTTAATCTTAGTGTTCTTCAGATTTATATCATCATCATAATCATAGAACTGCAGAGCTAGAAGGGACCCTATGGATCACTGAGTTCTAGCTCCTGTCAGAATCAAATTCCCAACCTTCGGATCCACAGCCAGGTAGCTAAACCACCAAGCTATTCAACATATCTCAGCTGCAGTCTCCGTTTTGACTGATAATTGGGAAAAAAAAGCATAGAGAATGCTTTAAAAATGTGAATTTCTTCGATGTTAGCATTAAGGTAATGCAATTCTTCTGTAGATTCTGTCTTTAAATTTGTATTTTCTTCAGTTTTAATCCTTCTTTTGCACTTTCTTCTTAACCATCCTGTCATTCTACGCCATTGTTCTTTTCTTCCTGTAATCTGATGTTTTCTACTTATTTTAAATTACTGGTGTTACTTCCACTATTTTCCCCTCCTACATGATCCCAATCTAATTTGTAATCTTCTGCCCATAGATGAAACAGGAAGATAAAATATGTCCTTGGCTGGTACCCTTGCCCAGTGGAAAACATTATGTTTTTATTTTAATTTTTCATTCCTCTCACCCCAAATTTGTAAGGAACAACAATTCTTTTCTAAAAGTACATTTCCAAGGTCTGATTTCATCTGGAAAGCAACCACAGAAAATTCGGTAGGGTTTTCTTTCTGCTTAGAATCAGCTCTGGAATCTGTTCTGAAGGGCAGTCCTTCAAAACATCTGAACATGTGTTAGAGATAAGACATTTTGGAGGTCATTCATTCGGAAGGTTGTCATAATGGGAGGTGATTAGACAGTCCATAAGAACTAGAGATGAGTGTGTTGAAAGTACAGAGATGCTGAAATGAATCTGAGGCTTGGTCGCTGATCAGTGAGTGAGTGATTATAGCCATCCCATATGCAGCTCATTAGAAAGAATGGACCTTCCAAGCCAAAATATGTGGTGTCCTGCCAGACACAGATTTCAAGTAGGGTAGTCTCATCTCAGGGACCTGGTAAGTCTCACTGAATTGCTGTGCTCTGCCTCTCCGGGTTGGGGAATGAATCTCACAGTGAGACATGCAGAGGAAGAAAAAAAAAAGTACTGATTGACCAATTGATTGTTGTGTGAGATAGCTTCAAACACTGGTCACTCACCTCCACCTACTTCTGGCTGGCCTCTGGGACCACTAGCTTAGTTCATCAGTGCTTTTATATGTCTTGCACCTGAACATTGCTAGTTCAGTACAAAGGCAGCAGCAAGGGAGCAGGGAGAGAGATGATGAGTAGATGCACTTGGGCTTTTCCAACCACCTGGGGCATCCAGAATCAGGTGGCCAGAAATAATACTTCTCCCTCAACTCCTGATTGCTCCACATGACCTGCACTGAATTAATAGGGAAGGTACAGCAGAGGTTTCAGCAGGGCCTGATATTAGTCACCTCAGGTGACAGGAGGCGGTGGATGCGAACCTCACTCTAGTGCCTTCTTTCTGAGGAGAATTTGACTGCTCCATGGGGCAGCTGGTTGTGTGCAGTGGCTCCCTCTGAAAAATAGAAGTGTTTCACCCTAACAGAAAATCCTGCAGTGACATGCTAAAAAACTATGTATGTAAGAATACGATTACTAACAGAACAGCAATTTAGACACACTTGATGGAATGGCATTCCATCAAGCAATGCTGGTTTTAAAATGTGGAAATATACAGTTTTCGACAGGGGTTTGCTCCTCTAGTTTGTCCTCCTTTTGAAAAAGATACGTACCGTTGTGGTGGACGTGAGCCGGCGTGAAGGGACTGGGCACTGGTCTGTGGCAGTGACTATCAGTGTGTAACGCCCATGACTGATTTCATAGTCCAGCTCCTTCATGGTGCGGATTTGCCCCTAAAAATGAGAGACCAAAACACCTGTTTTTTAGAGGGAGGACGTGGGCCACTGTGTCAGCCTGTCAAAGTAAAAGCAACCAAGAACCATGTGGCAACTTAACCAACACGTTTTATTTAGCACAAAAATCCATTTCATTTGATGGTTAAATCCCCACCCAGCGAGAAAAGGCTTAATTCTCAGTAATATGTGCAGTTGGTCAATGGAAGCCGAGTTGCAGGGCACAGTGTTTGAAGTGCCAAGTGAAACAGTGACACGATCACATACTAACCGTAGTGCTGTTTATGTGAAAGGTGCCCATGATGTTCCCCTCCGTGATGGCATAAGCAATAGTGCCATTTGGACCTTCATCAAGGTCCACCGTATTGATGGTGATAAGGATGGCATTGAGGGTGCCCGGGCCCTCGTCCAAGGTGACTTCATACTGCTGCTGGCGGAATGCTGGAGCGTTGTCATTCTCATCCAGGATGGTTACATAAACTGTAGTAGTGGCCTGTGGGGTATCATCCAGCAGGATGGGGGAGATAAAGGGAGGAGACATCAGCCATAAGTTTAAGTCTACATTCGTATGCTCAAACACCAAGTTTGGCGCCTTCTTGAATCAAGAATATTACATGCATGATGGACACCCATATAAAGGGATTGAATATAGGCCTAGGTTTCGGAAGTCATTACCAAATGCAATACTTACACAGTTATCTACTGCTACTGTCAGTTTCTTCATAACTTCCAGGTTCATCCCTTATCATGAGGATCAAAGGTAAAAACTAAATATTCCCTACATTAACACATGTGGTTCCTCTGCTATCTATATATTGTTCCCTCCCACTTGAGTTTTTAACAGGCTTCACACTCTCACCTCTTCTCCCCCTCCCTTTTGCTCATGTCTGTCATCTGTTTTCTGTCTCCTGGACAAATGTTTACCACCTAATCCCAAACATTGGCTATAAATCACCGCATGTGAGATGTAAGCAAATACTCAAGACTCTTAGAGCTAATGAATAGTATGTCTTACTTGTGTAATTGGTATTTCATCTAGTAATTCATTTTTATTCCATACGTCTGATGAAGGGCACTTGTTCACTAAAGCTTACATTAAAACGTAATAATCTTTAAGGTGCAACATGTTTTTTTAGCTTGTTTGTTTTTGTTTTGTTTTGTTTCTTGGGATTTATCTCGAGTGAAGAAGTTGCCTCTTACTGATGGCACTCTGTAAAGTAGGGGAACAACGTCTATGGGTAAGTGCTGCATTTCTCACTGTCATGCCACTAAACCCATGCCACTGTGACGGTGGTGCACACCCTATCTTCCAGACAGCATTTTCAGGTACATTTATTATCTTGTAAACAAGATATGCATGCTTCTTTGCTTAAAATGCCACCTCTGTTTTTGATTGTCGGTAGCAGAGACATCAGGAACCCCATAAAAGCACACATAAATGTCTGTGCCCCATGGATGGTGTAGTGTCTTCCCCTGCTGTAAACCTTATGAAGTGAAAATGAATGGAACATAAAACAAGAGCACGCCATTTCAAAAATAACTGAATTGCAAGAGTTCTTGGAGTATTCTTTTTGTTTGTATTCTTTTTATTTGTTTAATTATATATTTGACAGCATAACAAAATCTGTGGCTAGTGTCCTATTCAATATTTATGCATGGATGGATTTACAAGTGCAAAAGCTCCCGCAATGGTCTGATGAAGTGTCATTTCCTCAAAACCAGGGACATGGCCAGAATCTTGTGAGGTCACCCTGGCAGCTTCTGCAGTTGGAACTCTGCTTGTGCATAAATGCTGAACAGGATACTGGGCATTGAGCCTTAAGGCTGAGCCAGAGAGAGCTAATATCCCTGGAGCATGGCACTGGAAGGGATTCACGGTCACTTGATCAGGAGCACCAAGGAAGAAAGCAAGATCTGCCCATGTAAACATTATGATGGCAGAATTCCTAAGAGAAGGCAAATGAGCAAGGCAATACGTTTAATCAAGCCAGCTGTGAGCTTGAAGTTTTATCCCGCCACATGAACATAATGTTCACTAGAAAATGGTAAAGTCTGCCTCCTGTGTATTCCAGGATAAGACAAGTGGCCTGAAATAAGGGGCACCGTGGAACTTAAGGATGGACTGATGATTCTTTGCAATCAGAGGTACAGAGTAAAGAAGCATGAATTCACCTTGTCCTCTTGGTTTTGCATTGGTGATATATATATATGGAAACTGTTCTAAAAACCATGCTAAATTCTTGTTAATAGAGGTTGAGGAAGGAACTTTCCATGAGGGCCAAACGTCTACCATTATTATACTTGCTGCCAAGGATATTTATTACTTTTTTGTAATAGATTCCTTTTCCTTGATGTTATTGTAAAGGAAAAATTATTACCACATATAAATATAGTGAACATTCTATGGTATCTTAAAATAGTGGATCAGAATTGCAGAAACAGCATAACCCATTCTTAAAGCACAGCAAAATTCATCAATGTAATCTGCATTTTCTTCTATTATGAAAACTACAAGGTCATTTCATGCTTAAACTGAGAATTAAATGCATGGAATTAAAGATATAGAAAAGAAAATGTTTGTTCAGATTTTTGTGTATTTCAATTATTGCCCTTATATCCAAGTTAATTATCCCACACTGGATGCACAGCTAAGAGACTTTCCACATTGAGAGAAGTATGTTTGTGATTCTGCAAGAAAGAAAATAGTTTATAGACGTAAAGCAATAGTTTAAACTAAAATTATTTGACAGACTTATGGGCAACGAGGTCACGAATTTAAAATAAAAGTATAATGACCCAAATCCTGCTGCTTAGTATAGTAAACTGCACTGTAGTAGATCAAGACTGGATCAGTCTGGTGAGTCAAGTCCTCCATAGGTTCCATTGATTCAAACAGGCTTACTCTTGTGATTTACTTTAGCATTCTAAGTCACAGTTACAGTAGGCCCATTTAATCAATGAAGCTTATGGAGGACTTGACTCACCAAATTCCCACTGATTCAGTGGGCTTACTCTAGTGAAATGTACTATGTTAAGCAACAGGATTTTGACCAGTAACTTGGGGACACATTGATCAAATGTAACAGAAATTAGTGTCTATTACTTAAGTGTTGTGTTGTTGTTTTTTAGGAAAGAGAGCCATGGCTAGCAAAGCATTTTGATCAGAACACAAGGCAGTGCATGCACACTAGTAAGATATGAAAACACAATGTGAGAGCCAGCATGGTGTATTGTTTAGTGTTGTGGGCAAAGATTCAGGAGATCTGAGTTCAAATCCCCACTTGGCCATGAAACCTCACAGGGTAACCCTGAGCCAGTAACACTTTGTCAGCTGGACCTGTCTCACAGTGTTGTTGTGAGGATAAAGGGGGCAAGTAGAAAAGTCATCCATGTACCTTCTGGTTGCCCATCTATAATACTTCACAGCCTAAACTGTTCAAGTGACCATTCACTGCTTCTGCAACATGTCCACAGACAAAGCCTCCAGATATTGTTATAGGCACATAACACATGGCAAAGCAACTGTGCAGCTTCCTATGTAGGACTGCTTTCTAAACATGCAAGAGACACCCTTACTTGATGTCTCTTGCAAGCTTCTGTTTGCTTTCTACATGTGAATGCAGCACCACCTTTTCTGTCACCACCTTACAAATACATCTCTCCACAACCACACATACACTGATGCATACTATGTACAGCTTAAAATAAAAGGAGCAGGATTCTGTGAAGAGAGTGAATGGGGTTCATAAAGATGTGCCACATCATCACTGCTTGCCCCATTCCAACCTGTGGACTGTACAGCCTACATCCCATAGTGTTTGTTCCCTTGGGCATGACTATGTCGTCCGGTACACAGAGCCAAGCCAGACTGAGCTTACAGGTGCTACGCAGCTTCCCAAATGCTGGGTATGTCAAACAAAGTTTCCTCTACACTTTATTCCCTATCCCTGTAAGAAAGCATGATAATTAACAGCAAACCATTCCTTTGAATCAAATTACCTTTCAGTTTTAACTTCTGTAACAGAAACAATTTCATTAATTTTAAACCTTGCAGTTGTTGTAAGATAGGGGAACAGAAAAATTCCAAGAAGTCCCTCACTTCTGGTCTTAACAATCAAGACACTCTTTTACTTCCAGATTGCTAGAGACCAATATCCTATTACTTACACACAAAGTGGAAGGTCAATTGTGTAAACATACCCCCCCCCCAAGTAGGCTCCTATCATATGCCCGTTCTTGTACTGGTTGCAAGATTTGTTATGCAACTGCCAGAGCAGGGGAGGGCACTTACGCAATCACATCAAAATAAAAGGATACCGGCTATGCAATTAAACACACACACACATTTTATTTAGTTAGTTATTTAAAATATTTTAACCCCACCCTTCTCCTTAAAAAGGATCCACAGCGGCTTACATTATTGAAAGACAATATTTAAAAGCTAAAAATGGTAAGCATACAAACATAAAAAAAGACTCAAAGAAATACCACACTAAAAATGGTCAACCAAATCAACACCAAAAACACTTTCAAAAGCAACAAGGCACAACAATACACTTTAAAACCGTTCCCAGACTGTCAATCGAGGAAAGCCTGCCTGAAGAGAAAGATCTTTGCCTGCTTGCAGAAAGATAGCAAAGATGGGGCCAGTCTAGCCTCCTGTGGGAGGGAGTTCCAGAGTCTAGGAGCAGCCACAGAGAAGGCCTTCTCCCCTGCCTCCATGAAACACACCTTTCAAGGTGGAGGGACAGAGTATACTAATTTCTTCCTCTCAAGATAGTGCCAAACCCCAGCTGACGATCCAGGTTTTTTTTTCCAAAAAAGCACCACATGAATGCACCAAGCCCACAGGGGTGATGTTCAGATTCCAAGGAGTGTGGCACCGCACTCCCAACTGCTGTGTGTGTGTTCTACCACAACCAACTAGTTGTGCAGATGCTCATGTGGTAATGGATCTATGCTGAGCAACGGGAGGCTCTTCAATGTGTGTGGAGGTGGGGGGGGTCAGCTTCTGCTTGTTTCTTCACCCAACACTCCTGTGTTCCATTGCGGATACCATTTGGAAACAGTCTCCAATCTGTCGGATAAATGCAAACCTCCAGAGTTTCCACATCGTCGCGGCACTCCCCGTCAGCACGTACTCCTAGAGAACGTCAAAGCTAGTACTTCCTTTCCTTTCCTTTCCTCTTGACGCCTGACTTCATAAAAGGAACTTTTTGCTTCAGATTCTGGGTGTTTCCCCCTTACCTCCAACACTGTTCCCCCCCCCGCACTTTCCCCTCTAGGGGTTGTTGTCACTTGCCCAATGCACCTCGCGGGGAGCGGGATTGCGCGCCCTCAAAGCTGCGCCTTCTGACCTCCTGGGGGTGCTCTTCGTCCGCTCTGCCGGCTCCGCCAAATGTGCGCATCAGGGCAAATTTCCGGTGAGTTTTGCAACTCCCATCCCCGGCTGCTGTGGCTGCGCCGCTTCTCGTGTCGCCGCCGCCGCCGCCGCTACTCGAGACGCGCCCGGGAGATCCGAGCCGTGCAGCGTCTCCTCGAGCGCCGGCCCGAAAGGACCGCTCTTGCCCCCTGTTTGGGAAAGCCTGGGGGGGGCGGCATGGAGCGCGTCGCCAAGGGGTGCCTGTTGGTACAGCTCACGCTGGGGTTGATCCCCCGGGAAGGTAAGGGCAGGTTTGGAGTCGTCTTCTTCTCTCTCCCTTTCTCTCTCGCTTTGGACTCCCCCAAGGCTCCTCCCGCTCATTCCCTCGGGGTGGCCTTACTTCTCGTCCCTTTGGCCTCAGTGGCCGTAAATAACGCCGAAGGTTTCTCAAAAGTGGGCGAGGGGCGGCGGCGGCGGCGGCGGCGGGGCGAGAAGCTTTGGCTCTTGTAAGCAAGGCTCGCTGTGTCACCTTTTCGCCTCATTCACACAACACACGCGCGCACCTTGCCTGGGAGAAAGATTTGGGAAGCCCTGATGGATAGCATGAGGGGACAGGCAGGTCCGGAGGGTGAGGTGGGAGAAGGAGCTGGTTGAGCTTTCCCATCCTTGGGTTACTCCCCATTGCCTGGAGCGATGATGTTCCTCTCTGTGTTCCTAACCAAAAGGAAGGCAAAGGGGCTCAAGTGAGGCTGGTTTGCTTCATATGAGGCATTTCCCCAAAGCAAAGGCCCTCAGCCTCCAGGTTAATAAAGCTGTTGGTCAGGGGATTGCTTTAGTTCCCAAGACAGCATCTCCGCTTCCCAGCTTTGCTCTTAAACCTGGGCAATGTGTGCATATGAGTCTGGGGATGCTGCAGAGCATCGCACTTTCTAAGACTCTGGGCAGACATGTGTGCGTGCACGTGCTTGTATACACTCACCCACACCTATCACTGTGTAACACTATTTGATTGTGTTTTGTTTGTATCTCTTGCCCTGGATCTGTTCATCAGCAGTACCAACAAGAATACCTGGCTGCTTGATGAAACTTCAAATTTGGCTAGAGGTCAATGTTTCGTCCTTCAAGCTGGTGCTGTGGGACCCTCGAGTAACCTTGCTACCTAATGTTGGGAGGCATATTATTCATTGTAGAGGGGAAAAGGGAGGATGGGTTTTGTCTGGTGTTTTTTCCCTTCTTACTGTAAGGGCTGTGGTTTTGGTTTCTCAAACAATCATTGCTGAAACCAGTAGAAATTAAGTTTAAATGTCTAGCTAACCCTATTTTTAAGGGTGAGGATTGGCAAGGACAGTGACAACATTTACTTCAGCTGATTATCCTACCTTCCTTTGGCACAGTGCTGGAGGTGAGTAGGGAGGGATGTGTGGAGTCTGGCCAGAGGAAGGCAGGATCTTGCTGGTTAGAACACAGAACAGAAGTTGTTCCTTAAAACTGGAGCAATATGTCTATTGTTAATGAAAGCGTCGAACCAAAGGTTGAATGTGAAACAACAGCAAATTGCAAACAGAAAAAAAAAAAGAATGCTTAGACAGAAATTATGACTGACTGCAGCAACAGAGAGTTTTGGTTTGATCTCAGCATCACAGTACAGCAAGCTCTGAGGTAAACATCCAGATTCCATTTCTTTACAGGTAGTAATGGTGATGGTAATCTACACAGCCCCATGACAGTTCTCCTTTAAAGCTCCAATAACAGCAGATTCTGAGAGCACCAGGAATACAATTCTTTACTTGAGGAATATTGAGGAGCAGCAGAATGCAAAATGAACCTTATATAGGTTTATTTACCATTATAAAAGGACTAATTACTTCATGTAGGTATGGGCAGCAAGTCCTAAGAATCACCAATATACATCTCATAAGGTGAACACCACCCTCATAGTCTCTGTTCATGAAAAATATAATGTGAAGCAACACAGTACAAATTCTTGTTCATACTAGTGTATTCACAAGAACTGGATCACTCAGATGGAAGCACCTAGAACAAAAAATATTTGTTGCTTTGTATAACCACCATTTCTTATGGGGAAACACGGATGCGAAGGAACACACTACACAACTCACCTCAGATAAGTCTACATACATGTCAAAAGAATGATTACTCAAAGTAAACATGGGGTACAAGACCTGAACCTCCCAGATATTTAGCTGCCACTCTCTTCAGGGGGAACACAATCAGCTTGAAAAAACATATCCAGTCTGGTTAGATAGGCAAACAATGAGTGCCTTTATTGTAAGGTGGCCTTGCATCCTCTAGTTTCCAGCAGTTCTTGCTTTATTTGCCATCTTGCCTTTAAAGTTTTTACTGTTTTGTCACCTTGAGATGGCCTAATGAAGATAGCTCCTTAAACGTTACACAGCTTGTTCATTGGTTATTCCATCTTCCCAGAAAGACCTTATATCAATCTGCATATAAGTCTAAAGAACCATATGTGACAGTGGGAATCATGTTTAGTTACATACATGACAGTGAGAGGGGATGACTCCCAGTACTGCTACTATCCTCCCCATTCTAAACACAGTCAAGTCATCTTGTGCTGTCTGAGGAAAAATTGATCTCCCAATATTGGTTATAGGAGAAACCATTTTTTCATTTATCAACCCTGCTAAAGAATTTTGCTTTAGCATATAGGGTAAGGATTGGCATTCAGAAACTGAGTAGCATATAGGAAGTATATAGGATAATTGTTGTATCTTGTTCCCTTAGTGGGAATCTTAGTGCTGTGAAGCTTATGATGGGAGACACTGGGCTCCTTCACAGAAATCTGTTTCTTACACCTCTCCTACTAGTGGTTGGACATCATATGCCTGCATTAATTTTGGATGTAGCATCTCTGAATGATAATATTTTGCTGCATCTAAACCAGACTCCTTCCTGGTCATCTTTTCTCACTCATTTTACCTTAAATGGTCAGCTGTAACAAACGGCACTTTTTGTTTCTTATTACCTAACCAAAGTAGTGTAGCTATTTGCATTTTATTCCTTTAACAATTTCTTGTTCTTTATTCACCCATCTTAGTACTTCTTCACTAGTCAACCTCTAGATCCAAGAGGCTCAAAAGAACTGAACAGCAAACTCAGTCCATAAATTACTCCACATGTGAGATGCTACCAAATACCACTGACTCTCAAAGCCAGCATAAATGGTTTACTTGTGAAGTCTTTATTTTACTTTATTTCACTCAGTATGTCTGAAGAAGTGGACTTGTCCACAAAAGCTCACATTAAGGAATAACAGCCATTGAAGTGCCATAGTTTTTTTTTTGTCTTTTAATGTATATATTGTATTATTATTCAGAAATAGCAGACACGGTCAATCAAAATTATAAAACCATTGGTACAGTGGTGCCCTGCTTGATAATTACCCCTGTTCACGATGAGGCTTTTGCGATCTGTATTGCGATCGCAAAACGATGATTGAATGGGGAAAATCTGCTTTACGACGATTGGTTCCCTGCTTCGGGAACCAATTCTTCGCATTACGACAATCAAAAACAGCTGATTGTTGGGTTTCAAAATGGCTGTCCGCTGTTTTCCGGACCTATTTCTGGAAGACAGCGACCGAAAATGGCTTCCCCTATGGAGGATCTTTGCTGGATGATGAGGTATTTCGCCCATTGGAACGCATTGAACCAGTTTTCAATGAATTTCAGTGGGTTTTTTTTCTTTCGCTTGACGACGATATCGCTTAACAGCTATTTTAATGGAATGGCTTATTGTCGTCAAGCGGGGCACCAATGTATTATAAAACAGATACGAATTTTAAACAAATCTCCTTGTCTCCACCACTGAAATCCCATTAATAAGCAGCCCATTCTGTGTTTGGGGCCTCTGAATACAACTGGTCCTTTTTTCCAAATAACTTCCTACGTTTGTATTTTAGAGTCAAGGAAGACAGACTGCAGGCCATTGCCTGCTCAAGTAGCTTACAGTGTGGATTGCAGAAGGTAGATGCAGAGTGGCTATACAAATATAGCTAAGGCAGAATGAGCCTTAAAAGTGTGCCATATTGTTAGCAAAATTGTTCTTTGTATTATTAATGTACACCATCATCTTAATCCAGTTATTTTTTTTCAGTAATAAGAACTCCATTGTGCTTATGGAGCCTCCTTCAGAACGGGGTTCCTCTTTTGCTATAATGAGCAGGACAGTTCTGAGCAAACATGGGGATATGCATAAAGAGTTTTTGTTTCACAGAAGTATATGTAGAAAAACTTCTTAAGCTTGATTAGAGCTCCTCCCCAAGTCTTACTCCTGTGCCAACAAACTCAAGGTAAAAAAACTGCAAGCATTTTAATGACTGGGATCCTGTTATAATAAAGATTAATTTATTTTCTTATACAAAACAAATTAAGACACAGTGAAGATAAAGGAGGCATGAATGACTTATTGGGCTATCGATCAGAAGCTGGTGTATAGTCTTTCCCATATTCAATATCCAGAATAATGTGCCATCAAATCAGTTCTGATTTGTGGGAACCCTTCCCAGGGTTTTCTAGGTAGAGAGTACTCAGAAGTGCTTCATCATTCCCTTCTTCTGTGCCTAAAACCACACTGGCTGGCTGTTCTCCTGGAAGTCACAGTGGGGAATTGAAGTCCCAGACTTTGGCTCTGCAGCCAGATATCTAAACTAGGGATGGGTGCTTCATATTTTGTACAGCTTTGTATGAAGCATGTAGCACGGCACCCCAGGTGCTGCTGTGTTCCATCTCCCTCTCTCCAGGCCAGTTGGTCTACTTACTGGGCCACACACACTGCTGGAGCCTTTCTTTGGCTGTGGCGTTCCAATCTGAGCAGAAGCCCAGCAAGCCTTTCCCAGGCCCCTCAGGCAGCCAACCACTCTGGCGATGGGGAATTTCCCTGCACAGTCAATGAGTGGTAGGTTGCCTGGGGAGGTAGGGAAAAGGCTGGCTAGGCTTCTGCCCAGATTGGAGCATCATTACCAAAGAAGGACCCCAGCAGCGTGCGGAGCCCAGTAAGTGGACCATCTGGGCGGGGGTGGGGTGGGGGTGGAACTCAGCCCTGTTTGTGGTGCCACGCTTTGTGTTTCATATGAAGCTGTATGAAGCATGAAGCAGTCATCTTTATTCTAAACCTCTGTGCTATGAATGAATGATCTACAGAACAGAACAACTAGATGCTCACTGATCTATCTAGCCAGTATGTTATTTGTATAATATGTGCATATCTTGCTGTATCTAATTGACAAGATGCCATGGCACATCTCAGTTGTGCATGGTTGGG